AAAAAAGTAATTGATAAAACGGAAAGATAGAAATGAAAATCTTCAGAAAGTGAAAAAAATAAAACATAACCCGTATATAATAAAAACAATGGAGTACTTGCCTCTTCAGCGCAGATGGGGCGTTCATAAAATACCGTTCCTTCTGGAATTTAACATTAATGGTCATTAAACGACCAGATGCCTGGATTAAACACTGAAGTATTTGTTTTACACCAGGCCGTTTATTGACAATCAAATCGATGGCCCCCACTTTTCTTTCAACATGTAAAACACCCTGAGTGCATTTACTGGGGTTTTAAATACAGCTCCTTGAATATTAATGATTATTTTTGTGGTGGATCCAACGGTTTTGTCCTTCAAACTGTTCAAATGCACGCAATAGGAAGATTGTGTTTTGTAAATAATTTATATTGTTGAAAATTTGGTGCCTTTTGAATCAGGAAACTACGAAGTCAAAATTGCAGGATTTATCAAAAGAAAAGTCGTTTCTAATCATACAGGGTTTGTCAAAAGAAGAGGTAGCACCAATTAAACAATATTGAATATTTATATTGATTGACAGACAAGGTTTGTTGACCTTTCTAAGGTTTAAATAGGGAGCAGAATCTAATTCAAACAAACGTTTGCTTGTATGTACAGTTTATGACTGTTGACATTTAGCTGCTAAGCCTCCCAGTCAACAATATTTGATTATTGGAAATGACATTCGTGGCGAGACATCTATCTTCTTGGACAAAAGGTGCAAATATGGGTTGCACAATGTTAATTACATGAAATCAGATGTATAGTTTGTCTGAGAGAGAGAGAGAGAGAGAGAGAGAGAGAGAGAGAGAGAGAGAGAGAGAGAGAGAGAGAGAGAGAGAGAGAGAGAGAGAGAGAGAGAGAGAGAGAGAGAGACTAAATCTGTGTGTAAACTGTTTATAAGATGGTTAAGCGACATAAAGTTTAAAATGTTCTCAAAATTTTCATAAATATCCTGTAATAGGACGACAAATTTATAAATTTAATAAGGAACGACAAAAGTGCGAGTTTTAATCGTCTTATAAAATTCACAATTTCCTAATATTTTAGTATTACAGTATTTGTTTTATTTAAAATCAAAATGAGTCTAAAATATACATCAATTTTTGTTAGTATCAAGCGTCTTTTAATGTGTTTAATATTTTATATTTTGATGGAATTCCTTTGAAACTGATTTCCAAAATAGATTTTAACTATTGTTAATTATCAATATATATACTATATGGGGAAACCCATCAACTCTTGCAGTTGGATGAGGATATTTCAGTATTTGGCTTCATTTAGTGAACATTTGATTTTTTAAAATAAAAAATATATAAACTATAGATAAAAATTTGTGAAATAATAAAACAAAATTCTAAAGATCAACTCAGATTAAACATATTATAATTTTTATAAGGGGGAAATACAATAAAATATGCAGAACGAAAATGTTTGACTTAATTTTTTAATAAAAAAAGAAATTAATAAAAATATTGAGGGAGGGAGATCAATTCTCAAACTTTTCGTAATGTATCAAAGGTACATGTACGGTAGAAGAGTTATCTGTCTTAGACTGTAATATAAATTAGAAACTGCATTTCAGGCAAAATACACAGTGTATATGTTACATTAAAAGTTTAGACTTTATCAAGTTAAACTTATCTATAACAGTCAAAGGCCAAGGTCAAATGGTTAAAAATATTTATATCCTTCGAAAGGTTTTGTCATAAAATATAAATATGTGAAGTTTAAAAGCCCTGGCACCAGCAATTTAAAACTTATAACTTTAAACTTTAAAACTTAAGATTAAAGTTTGAAAATATTATGCAAAAGTGGGTCAAACTCCAAGGTCAAGGTAAAAACATTGATTCTGCAAGGAAGGCCTTGTCATATGGAATACACATGTGAAATATGAAATTCATAGCTTCAGTCAATCAAAAGTTATGGACAGGGTTAATGTTTTGCTAAAAAAAAAAAAAACAAACAAAAAAAAAAAAAACAGACAGACAAAGCCAAAACTATACACCCCCCGGAATCTTCGATTACGGGGACATAACAATTATTTCGTTCGATTCACTTCTCCTATGAATTATTATCCAACAGACAGCATTATTAAATATTACCATAGTTATGCAATGCTTCCTTTACACCCAAAACAGGGACCAGTAGCATTATATATTTTATAATATCGTTGCTGACTTTTGAACATCTCTTTCATTAATCTTTGTCAAATTGCCATTGTGCACCTCCTATTTTACTTTTTGATCCGACATATATTTTGGGTTTCCCATAGCAAAAACATAGACACTGCCATTATATTCATATGAGAGGTGGGGTATCATTTAGTGAGCTCATTGCTCACAGTATCTTTTTTTTTTTTTTAAAGATGCAACATCAAAATATTGAATCAATATACATTTATTGAAGTACATGTACATGTACATATATGTAAATGAAGAAGAAAATGTCTTCTAATTTCAAAGTCCATTCACTGAGGTTTTTAACTTTTTATTGAATCTGAAAAAGAAGCACATGAATCTTCTCATCCTCACAAAGTCAGAGCTCATAAATCAACACGTTTTCAAACGGCAACTTGATGACTCCAGACCCCGGACGCTTTGAGAGTGGATTTTTTAATTAGACACAATAGTTGATGCTAGCAACATCTAAGACTTTAAAGTTGCCAAATCGTGCTGCTGGAACTTCCTTTGCTGTGAAAAAATATTAGAATGCTATCAATGATTTAATGTGTCACAGAAAAAAGGGATAGTTTGACTGGGATTCGAATCTGACACTCTAGAGCTCCGTATAGGTGCTCTACCAAGTTAGCTAATATATACATGTATACAATGTACTCGCCTATAAGTCGGTCTTTTGGGAGTTTCATTTTAGCCCCAATGTCTGTAGGTCCGACTAAGAGGCGATTTTTCTTGAACAGAAATTGTAGTTATATTGTTATATTCTTCAATAAAAATGGAACTCGTAAATTTACTTACCTCGACATTGGTCATCTGCAAAATTATTTTGTTAAAACAGATTCTGATTGCACACATAAGTACTCTGAAGATGACACCAAGAAGATGCTTGAGTTTCTGATTGACAATATCTATGTGGTTTTTGGAGACCAGGTATTCCAACAATCTATTGGAATTCCCATGGGTACAAATCCGTTATTGGCAGACTTATTCTTATATTCACATGAAGCAGAATTTATGCAAAATCTTATGCGTGAAAAGAAGAAAACACTTGCTGTGGCCTTCAACTCGACATTTAGATATATCGACGACGTATTGTCAATTAATAATGATAATTTCCATTCCTACGTCGATACGATATATCCTGGTGAGCTTGAGATAAAAGATAGTACAGAGTCTGACACAATTGCTTCATACTTGGATATTTTACTTGAAAAAGACACTAATGGTAATCTAACAACCAAGCTATATGATAAACGTGATGACTTTAACTTTTCTATCGTCAACTTCCCTTACTTATGCTGCAATATACCTTCATCACCTGCATACGGAGTATATATATATCTCAGTTGGTTCGATACGCAAGAGCATGCTCTACGTATGAACAATTTCTTAAACGAGGTAAATTATTGACAAGCAAGTTGATGAAACAAGAATATCAACAGTTTCGTTTAAAGTCATCATTTCGTAAGTTCTACGGTCGATACAATGACCTTGTCAGCAAATACAATTTATCATTGAATCAAATGCTGACTGACGTTTTTCATACCAATTGTTAGTCCATTATTTATACACTGAATTGACAACGGATTTTTTCCGTTATTTCCTGATCATGACAACGAGCACACGGCGGGTGTGACCGGTCGGCAGGGGATGCTCACTCCGTTATGGCACCTGATCCCACCTCTGATGTTTCGAAGGTCCGTGTTTGCTCTGCTCTTATTTTGTATATTGTTTAATGGACTTTGAGATTAAATACTGTTCGTTATCTCCATATCCTTTTTTTTTCTTATTGTATCAAATTCAACGGTATTTGTTTAGAAATGATCGGAACTTAATCTGATGCAGAAAATGAAGATCAAGTGTTGCCACATTCATTTAAGACAAGTGCTTAGAGGTTAAACTGAATGATCTTGTATTTGTTTTAAAATTGTTAATAAAAGATCAAATATCAATGTCATACACCAAGATATGCTTTAAATTGTTAACAAAAGCAAAACACCGGGATCATGAAACAGACTTAGACTTTTAAGTCAAAATTTCAATTATCTATAAAATCTTTAATACTTGTTAAAGGAAACTCATAATTTGCATACAATAGCAGACTGATGATACAAAAATCGGAAGGCATTTTCATTTTGGGCTGCTAGACCTCTAAAAATATTCAGCATCTAAGGCATTTTTTGACTTAAGCTTATGATGCTTCATGATCCCGAGGCCAGGTCAATGGCTAACTAACCTAACTCCTCAAAATAAGTCTATAATATAACCGACTTATATGTCGATCGACTTAAATTATAGGCGAGTATATCCGGTATGTAAAAGGTGAAGATGGTAAAAAAGTAATCAATCTAAAAAATTCCATCAACACTTACCAATGTGTGCAGAGGGCATAAAACACCGACCTCTGGAAAGTTCAGATGAAATCATGTGCCTAGGAGGAGTAAGCATCCCCTCGACTGGTCACACCCGCTGTGAGCCCTCCGTCAAGTATAAAAAGAAAGGCTAACAATACGCAATAATAATAAATACAAGTTGCTGTCCTTTAAAAAAAGGACTACAATACGTGGACCATATGCATGTGTTTCTAACCGAAATTCAGTCAATTCAAGACAATTTCTAGGTTTAGTGTATATTCATGTAGGTTTGTTCATATTTTCTATTATGGTCTCATTATTACATTATTCAAAATGTACCAAATTAATGACGTCATATTTCAAGAAAGGCTCTTCTTCATGGCATATTCTTTAATGATTTATCATATTCATCTACTGAACTATTGTTAATGCCAATTTCAAAACTTTTTAATGTAACACGCCGTATTTTGGATGTTTCACTCTTTATTTCATTACAGAAATTTAAATGCTGATGGCCTACAATATAATATGAAAAGTAATAAAATCTAACAACAATCATTATTGTGAAAATTACATTAACAATTTGTGTAATGCAATTGCACAAATACATAAATTTCATTATACTCAGGCATTTGTATAAATTGTTATAATGTCAATATTATATATGCCAATATTATATTTAACAATATGCATGATCTTATTCATGGATAAAAACATACCCTAAGTAAGGGAGTAATCAAAAATCCATGGATCTGGATCCGTCACATATCTGTTATTAACCTAATATGATAATATAACAGACCTTCAATGCATATTCTATATTACTGATCATTATATTCCAAACTAAGTGTAACAATTACATAATTTAAAAAAATGAAAACTAGTTTATGGTTTATCAACACTACACTATTGTTAAATACTATTCTATAATATTTGATATAATGATTATTTAACAGAAATAATAAATTTGATCAATGATTTCTTTTATAAAGAACAGTTTCATATGTAAACAATCAGCTCGATCATTGAATATACAGAGTAAACTCTTAATATACTATAAATCAAACATGATTTTACAAGATACTGAATAGACGAATAATTACATACCTTGATATAACTTCTATGGAGATAAACTTTGATTAATTTGAATTTCAAATGCTTCTTGGTATTAACAGTGCTTTTGATCGCAATGGCGTGTCTTATAATGAACAAAGGACGATTCAAACAAAGGAATAAAAATTATTACTTTAAAGAAACATTATTATTTCATTATTTTCCTATATTGAGATGGACATTTAAAATAAGAAACTTACATCAATCCAAAAATAATTTTTACATAAAATATTTATTGAAGTAAGTTTAAACTAATATCATGTCTATTTAAATGATTAACGATTGAATGGTCATATGACTCTGTGGTCCAGCTGATAGGCAGCTCGCCCCACAATCCAAAGGACCACGGTTCAAACACAAGCATGACCACACTTTTTTTAAACAAAAATTATTTTGTCAGATGCACATTATATAAATATAAAATACATTAAAACTATTTCACCATATCACATTAAGAACATTAAATTGTTAGGGCACAATAAAGCTAAAACCGTACCGTCTTCTTAGCAAAATTGTTAATGCTATGTTCCCACTATCACGATTGGCGCCACGATTGAAATCGGGGACTTGAACGTGGACAAATCGTAGTGCTCGTATCAGACCGAAACAAAACCTTTGTTCACTCGTGGCTATCGTGTTGATCGTGAAATTTTTTTTGACTATCAAAAATTTTTCTACGATTAACACGATTAGATTTTAATCGGTATCATCGCATCGAATCGCATTACATCGTAACTAACCTCAGCTGCATCGTAAGTAAACGCATCTTATCTAGCTTTCATTTCGTGATCATCGGGATCGATCTCGGACAGGAGAAACATCCCGTTGATTAGCGATTCGTTACGATATCTCACGTTCTGTCACTATCTGTGACGATTTGCGTGGTCCTACTGCTCACGAGCTGATAGGGTATTTTTCCGCTCAGATACGATTTGATACGGACATATAAGAGTAAACGCCATTAGATACGAGTGTTAACGTTTTGTTGCGGACGCTCACGCTATATTACGAGTATTTAAGCTTGCAAAAATAACGGGAAAACTGAACGCGTTTCTTTCCCCGATTGTAAAAAGACGTCTGAGTTTTGGAAAAAAATATTTTAAAGATGCAACCTAAATCAGGTACGAAAAAGGAAAGAGAAGGGAGATCCCATTTCCTTCTGAGTCCGAACCCATTCGATCAGACGCAACATCGGTGGAAAAAATAAAAACATAAGATAACATTTATAGTGCTGCTTTTGCTCTACTTTGACAGCAATACCATATGAACATAGTAACACTTCAAACACCACGTTCGTGAGGTTGTCATCAACCCCAACTTCTGCCATTATTATTGATTGAATGTTTGTGCCTTGTTTACTTTTAATAGATAAAATATAATGAACTCAGTACAGCCAGATTTTTTTTTATATCTGTCGGGGTACAATCGTAGCTCAAAGCGTGTTCTATCTTGATCCTATCATGAAAGCGTATCGAAACGTATGAAAACGCACCTATGCGCATCTCTTCGTATCTTGGCATAAAATTCAATAAAAACTCTGCGATCAACTACGATTGATCAATCGTGACGTGCGTAACTGTCCGCACGACAGTGGGAACGTAGCATAAATGTTATCTCCGATTGACTAATATAGTTTTGTCGTTTAAAAAAAATGGGCTATATTTATACACTCATTCACTTACTGCAAACCTCTCTGCGCCGTCAGGTGCTTGAAGCAGCTACAAAGTATTTCCACCTGGCTCGGTCTTCAGCTGCTCGTGGTGCTGTCTCCATGGATAGACCTCTGGGGGTCGTAACATAAAGGCTACTTAAGTCTTAGACCGTGCTTAAGTAGGACTTTAGTACAGTCTAAAACTTAAGACCGTAACTAGAAGCGTACTTAGATTTGGCAATCTTAGCAAAACTTAGGCGGCCGGTAGAGGTGACTTAAGTATATTTTAACTTTCTTGTACATATATTTAGAATTATTTAATGTTGACTTTCGATGTTTAAAGTTTCCTCTATTCATATTATGCATTAAAGAAAATGATTATCTTTATTTGACGCTGATTTAAGAATTTTATTTTTTCGTTGGGCGGGGTTGGGGTAGGGTGATCACTGATCCCAATTTCACTCACAGCACAGCACAACGCTAGCATAACAGGGGCGGATACAGGATTTGTGGTTAGGGGGGGCGTGGATAACTTTGTGGAGGCAAGGGGTCTGGGGGCCGCCTTAAGGCCCCCAGTGGGTCCAGGGCGAAGCCCTGGTGGGGGCCCCGGGGGCGTAGCCCCCGGAAGCTCCTGGGTTTTCGTGTATTTTAGAGTAAAACCAGGCACAATAATAGTGCATATTTTTCAATTATTTTTGTTAAAAAAAGCATATAGGTTCGGATGTTTGAATAATAATTGTATTGAATGTTTCTCAATTCTCATTTTATTGTAACACATGCCACCATAATAAACGATTTACTTACTTATTACTTACTGATAGTGGTACTTGTTAGTGATGTACCAGAAAACGCCGTGTTTAATACTAGTTATATCATACTTTGAATGGGGGGGGGGGGCAGGGGGCGCAGCCCCCTGAAGCTCCTGGATTTTTGTGTATTTTAAGAGTAAAACCAGGCAGAATAACAGTGGTTTGGTTGGTTTTGTAACAAAATGTGGCATTATAAATATTAGTCACATCATACTTTGAAAATTAGGGGGGGGGGGGGGGGCGTGCGCCCCCCACGCCCCCCTTAAATCCGCCAGTGCATACATGTAAATATGTCTGAAATTAGTAGGACTTCGGTTCTGGAAATATCCCGATTTTTGTTTTGCATCCTTGATTATAAGTATATCATTAAACTTCTGCATTTTTGCTTCTGACATACATGGCATTATACATAGCGGGGATTCAAAATGTATCGAACTTTTTAGAGTTTCAATTTCAAGTGAATAGGCGATCGATTATCTTTTCTTGTCTGCGATAATAACAGGGTAAGTGAACATTTATCAAAACAAAAGAGTTACAAGAGGTAAACTGAAAACACCTCAGGTGATAAAACAATTGTCGTGAACATTTACAATGAACCACAATTCGCCACTTTCTGACCTTGCAGTATTTGTTTTCAATCATTCCTATTAGTTATGTTCCCCAAACGAAGTTGGGGAACATATTGTTTTTACTCTGTTTCTTATTAAGGTCTTCCGTTTCAGACGGAAGACCTTATAGTGATTCTACTGTTTTTTCTTTTTTATTATTATTTTTTTTCCCTTTTCTTTTTTTGACGATTTCTCAGAGATGACTGGACAGATTCTCATGAAATTTTCAGGGATGATAGAGAGTAAAAATATCTTTCAAATAAAGTTTTCAGTTTTTCAAAATTTACTTCCGGTCGTCAGATATGTCCGATTTCCGCTTTTTTCAAAAAAGTTTTGTCCCAGTCATATCTGAGAAACGGTAAGAGATGAAGACACCAAACTTATATGAGTAATAGATCTTGATAAGTAGGCAAATCCATTTGGGTTAACACAGTCCGCCGTCACTTCCGGTCGTCACAGGAAGTGATCAAAGAAATCAAAAATTTCAACTTTTCTTTTTTGAAACTTTTTTTGCATCACATTATAGTATCTCATTTGTAGTTTCGAAATATATCAGTCCCACCGGAAACAAAAACGATAACTTCCGGTAATGAGAGAAAAACTGCATATTTTCAGTATTTTTTCTTTCCCATAAATATTTTTTATAGATAAAGTATTTGTAATGATTTTTGGACATATTATTCAGACTGCAAATGACTACAGTATCGTCAAATAACATTGTTAAATTTACTTCCGGTCGCGTGATTTCCTGTCCTCAAAATAAGAAGTTATCATAGCTAGATCTCGTAAACGATAAGAGATTAAGACACCAAACTTATATAAGTGGTAGATCTTGATAAGTAGACAAATTTAGTTGGGATAAGATTGTCAGCCGTCACTTCCGGTCGACACAGGAAGTGATCCAAAAATCAAAATTTTTAACTTTTCTTGCATGAAACATTTTTTGCATCACATTATAACATCTTATTTGTATTTTTGAAATATATCAGTCCCACCGGAAACTTAAACGACAACTTCCGGTTATAAGAGAAAAACTACATAATTTGTGTATTTTTCTTTTGCATACATTTTTTTTATACATAAAGTATTTGTAGTGATTTTCAGATATGTTATATAGACTGCTTATGTCTACAGTAACCTCAAATATCTTTATAAAATTCACTTCCGGTCGCGTGATTTTCTGTCCTCAATATGAGAAGCTATCACAAAGAGATCTCGGAAACGGTAAGCGATGGAGACGCCAAACATGAATCAGTAATAGGTCTTGATAAGTAAGGAAACTCATAAGGGTTAAGATCGTTCGCCGTCATTTCCGGTCGTCACAGGAAGTGATAAAAGAAATCAGAAATTTCAGCTTTTCTTTTTGGAATACTTCTCGGCATCACATTATTGCATCTTATTGGATGTTCTGATATATGTCCGTCCCACCAGAAACAAAAACGGCAACTTCCGGTTATGAGAGAAGAACTGCATAAATTGAGTATGATACTATCCCATAAATATCTTTTAAAGAAAAAGTATTTGAAATGATTTTAGAATATGTAATTCAGACTGCAAATGTCTAGAGTAACTACAAATATCTGTTAAAAATTGATTTCCGGTCTCATGATTTCCTATCCTCAAACTGAGTAGTTAACATAGCCGGATCTTGGTTATGGTAACACATCAAGACACTTAACTTATATGAATAATAAACCTTGAAGAGTGAACAACAGATATAGGGATAAATGTCTCCGCTGTCACTTCCGGTCGTCACAGGATGTGATATGAAAAATCGAAAATTCCAACTTTTTTCTTTCCAATTTTTTTTTTCATTACTTTATTGCATCTGATTAGTAGTTTTGAAATATGTCAGCTCCACCAAAAATAAATAAAAAAAAAAATAAAAACAACGAAAACTTACAATTATAAGATATAAAACAACACCAAAGGTCAAAAAGTCAAGGTCATTGGAAAGTATTTAAATTGCTTATATATGCCGCATAACCTTGACCTTTGAGTTTGATGTTTGAACTTGACCTTTGACCTTGACCCTTACCCAAGAGTTACTGTTTTATATTTAGCTTGATACAGCTTCAAGTGTTAAAGTCGAGTTCAAAAGGTTTTTGAATGACCTTGACCTTTGACCTCGATATATGACCTTGACCTTTGACCCCATTGACCCAAATGTCACAATCAAGCTTGAGTCCTTGGGGATGTTTACATCTCTCACTTTAACAAATGCTTATATACACCCCCCCCTTTTTTTTCTTTTTTTTTAAATCAATAGGAAGCTAGAAAAATTTTCTACAGTTCAAACGAAGCCACAGATCGACATGAAATTTAAGGATTGCAGTAGAAGACACATCAAAGAAAGTGTC